TTTTTTAATAAGGCAACAACATATGATAGATACGATAGGACAAAACAAATACAGTGCAGCACGAACTGTTTTTATACAGTCTATGAGCACGAATCGCTTACAGTGTGCGCATCCGGTGTGCAGAATGATGTGCTTGAAGGAACATGGCGTCATTCTGCACACCGGCTGCGCACATTGTAAGCGTTTCGTGTTAAAACTGCAAAGCACAAAGGGAAGAGAAATTGATGCGTAGTGTATTAATCCCTAGTTAGGTAATTTATATATTTAAGAGATTTATACTATATTAAATTGCTTTATTTTCCACTCAGCTCCAGAAGAAACTTCACTCTCTAGAAGAGCAGCTCAACAATGAAATGCAGGCCAAAGATGAGCTGGAGCAAAAATACAGAAGCAACTGTAGCCGCCTAGAGAAGATCACCAAAGAGCTTGATGAAGAAGTGAGTGGGTGTTTCATCTCTGAGATCTCAGCAATTTGTATGCAGGAATATGCAGTAATCTTACCACTTATGTTTATAGATAAATAGCAGAAAAGGTTTGGAGATGACTCTGAGACAGTTGGAGAGAGAGAAAGCTCTCCTACAGCACAAGAGCGTAGAGAGTCACCGCAGGGCAGAGAGTGAAGCCGACCGCAAACGCTGCCTGGAGAACGAAGTGAACAGTCTGAGGGATCAGCTGGATGAAATGAAGAAGAAAAAACAGAACTCGCACATCTCCAATGAGAAGAACATCCACCTGCAGAAACAGGTTTGTGGGTTAGAGAAAAACACACACACATACATATACATATACATATATAGCTGTTCAAACAATTGGGGGTCAGTAAGTTTTCTTTTTTTAAGAAATTAATGCTTTTATTCAGCAAGGATGCATTAAATTGATCAAAAGTGCCTGTAAAGACAATTATAACGTGATATTAAAAATATTTAAAAATGGTATTTGAACTTTCTGTTCACATAGAATCCTGAAAAAACTGAATGATGATGTGACACTGAAGACTGGAATAATGGAAGCTGAAATTTTAGCTTTGCCATCCCAGGAATAATTTACATTTTAAAATACAGAAGACAGTTATTTAAATATTAAAATAGAAAAGTTATTTTAAATTGTAATCATTTTTCACTATTACTGTTTTTACTGTATTTTTGATCAAATAAATCCAGCCTGGGTGAGTAAAAGAGACTTACAACCCCAAATGTTTAAACTGTAATTAATATATGTATAATAAATAAGTGTATTATGTAATAAATATTTAAATATTTATTTATCATTTGTATTTTTTTAATGGTTTGAAAATTAAACATTTATGTGAATATTTTATACTTGTGACATTTTGTCACATAGTCTTAAGTCAGATTAATACAGCATCTGTTAAAAGCATCATTCAGTTACTTAAAAGTAGAGTTCCCAGAAATTCAGTCTTCCTGGAGCAACACGTGGCTATGTGTTTTTCTCATGTGTGATCAAGTAACAGAGTGATCCTTGAAACAGTGTCATGTCCCCATTATAAACTCTCTCTTTCTCTCTCCGGCAGTTGGATGAGGCAAATGCGTTACTGCGGGCAGAATCTGATGCTGCTGCACGACTGCGTAAATCTCAAACAGAGAGCTCAAAACAGCTGCAGCAGCTGGAGGCTCACGTGAGAGAACTGCAGGACAAATGCTGCATGCTAGAGAACAACAAGCTCACGCTAGAGAGGGAGAACATCTGCCTGCAGGCTGCGCTGGACACAGAGAAACGAGAGCAAACCCAGGGCTCTGAGACTATCTCTGATCTACAGGGTAAGTGCATATCCTCCGTTTTGAATGTGTGTGTTCATTTCACACTTAACAATATTCATCGTGTAAGGTGGAGAACAGGCGTCATGCGTATAGACCAAACCTCCACGAAGTGAAACAGGTGAGACAGGCACTATCTAAAGCTGAGACGGAGAAGAGGCAACTTCAGGAGAAGCTTACAGACCTGGAAAAGGTAAACAAGTAATTCTCATTTCCCTCCCTCCCTTGTTGAGACAGTTGTGACATCATTATAGGCTACTGTTGTGGATTCAGACGTCATTAATGCCTTCCTCGCACAGTGTTGATCATTCCCAGCATTCCCTGCTGAAATAATGTTGTACACAAATGGCTATTAGAAAGCTACAGACTTAATTTACTGGGGTTTACTCACTGTTAATTGCATTTTTTGTCCAACCGCTCTTCTAATGTCCCTCCCCCTCGTTTTATGCACCCAATAGGAGAAGAGCAATGACCAGATTGACATGACCTATAAGCTGAAGATGTTGCAGCAGGGTTTGGAGCAGGAGGAGGCGGCACACAAGGCCACAAAAGCTCGACTTGCTGACAAGAACAAAATCAGCGAGTCCATCGAAGGAGCAAAATCTGAGGCTGTGAAGGGTATGAGAGTTTAAAGAGATTAAAGATCCATTGAAATTAACTTTTTTGTTTATTTCCATATTTCCTATTAAAACAGGAAGCTTGACAGTTTAAAGTTTACGTGGAGAATATAGTGTTTTAGGTTTAGAGTCGGTGGTTTAGTCAAGAGCTACATTCAAGGAGATTTGATTGAGAAATTGCTGGTTTTCTAAAACATTTAACAAAGATTTTATGGCTGGTTAACATGTCTGTCTGTGTGTGTGTGTGTTCACCTAGAGCTGGAACAGAAGCTGCAGGAGGAGCGTTCCTCTAAACTGCGTGTGGAGAACAGGGTGTTAGAACTGGAGAAGAAGAACTCCATGCTTGACTGCGACTATAAACAGTCACTGCAGAAACTAGAGGAACTGCGACGACGCAAGGAGAGACTCACAGAAGAGGTGCGTGGAGGATATAAAT